AAGGATCCAGACTGTGCCATGACAAGAAATGCAAAACCTGCCCCCACATCTCCACCACCCCCACTATTACTACACCCCACAACAGAGCCATCAGCATCCCAGGATCTTACAGCTGCACCTCCAGGAATGTAGTATACCTCATCCAATGCACCAAATGCCCTGATGGAAGATGTGTAGGAGAGACCAGACAACAACTGCGCACCAGAATGAATGCACACCGGAAATCCATCAAAGACAGAAACACCCAATTACTGGTGGGGGCACATTTCTCACAGGAGGGCCACTCTCTCTCCAATCTCTCAGTCCTGATCCTCAAGGGAAATTTACACAACACATCCCAGAGACAAGCCTATGAGCTCCATTTCATCAACCTGCTGGATGCTAGAGATCAGGGACTAAACATAGATATTGGATTTTTGATGCATTATAATCTGCCTGGCAACTGACTCTCCCGCCCAGCCCAGCCCCTGGCTTGTTTACTGTTCATCCCATCCAGGAAGAGCACACACCGACTGCTGCAGCTTCCTGAGCCTGACGAAGGGTTTTTGAACCCGAAAGCTTGCTTAATAACTATTCTCCAACCATTTGGGTTGGTCTAATAAAAGATATCAAATTCACCCAAGGAACCTTGTCTGCTTTTAACCATTGCACTCACATATCTTTCAAGCATTTCTCTTTCAAAGTATAACATTTCAAAGTGTGGCAAATAGATGTCTTTATTTATATAATAAAACTTTTTATTCTTTGGCTTGAGAGAATGCTCTAAAGCCATGAGGCTTAAGCTTATGCTTGAAGTTGCAAGAATATATTTTTTTTTAATTTACTATAGAAATTTGTTTTTAATAAAGCAGAAGTAGTTACAAGTTAATCCTATTTTTTTTCAAATTAAAAAGTCAGTCAGGGTCATGTAGGGAGTTTTTAAAATACGTATTCCATCATTTCTTTTAGGCAGCTGCTGTCTGCAGTAATAGTAATGACTGGCACTCATCTTCAAATATGACTACTACTGATACTGAAAATCAGTTTCCACATGTAGGTTTCAAGAAATGTGCCAGGGCAAACTGGCGTCTACATTCCCTCTTACTGTCAGCCAAGGTGATGTGATGATGTTCTGTTGCTTGTTCTGCGTCCTTCATAGCTGAGTGCCAAGCTGTCTTATCATGGGCTGTATTTTCCCAGGACATTAAGTCCAGCCTGGCAGACTATATGTGCCACTTAATGTAGTCTTTGTAGCAGAGTTTGAGATGCCCAGCCTTCCTCTGCAGTAGGCCACCCTATATAAAAATTTTCAGGCTTGTTTGTAAATACAAAATTATTACTATAAGTTAGCAAAAAGCATTCATCCACTAAAAAAAACCCCCTAAATATAAGCTGAATTGGTGATTGGAGTGACAAGTGTTGCTAGTGCATGGATTGACTCTCTGATCTTTAAGAAAAAGAAGTGGATGGAGTTGCAAAGTGTTAGAGGGACTTACATTTCTAGAAACTTTAGGATGGTGAAGTGGGCAACTGATCTGGTTCTCTGAAAGCTGGCTAGCTCATCCTATTTTTTTTTCAAAGTTTAGTCTTTGAAATGACCTAATGGATTCTTTAGCATCCTTCCTCATTCTAACCGTTGTCTCTGTGTGGACATATGCATATGAAAGTTGCAAATCAGTATTTCAGTTGATGATTACAGTTTAGCTATCATCAGATGTGGTACTCTTATGGTTTTGAAGTAATTGATAGGAAGCAATTTATTGACGGTAAGAAAAATAGGAGATTTTAAACCATGTATAGAGTTAAGTTGTACCGGAGTAGAAAGGATTTGTGATTTATTTATTTTTTAAATCATGAAATCAAGTCTTCTGATTATTCAGGATCAAATGTGTCACAGGATAAAACTTTGTTGGAAGTAGAAGAGCAGAACATTGATGAGCTGGATCTTGTGAAAGATGTTTTCAAGGAGATGTATATCATTGAACTGTGGCTGTGTATACCATTGAATAACTTAAATTATTTCTATAAAAGAAGCTTCTATCATTTTGGGGGGCTAGAAAATGAAAAAATCAGCTGAATTTAAAAGACAAAAAAAGTGGAGTTTGTTTTCTGCTAACACTGTTGCCTTCATTAAATCATGAAATTGTCAGAATAGTTGAGACAAGACCTTTTGACTGTCAGAAGGATTTGTCATAATTCATCTTTACTTGTAGGTTTCCAAACCTGTAATAAATCCTGTGACAGGAGGCCTAGGCTTTCTGTCACTTTAAGGGGAGAAAATGCTGCAGTTAGGACTGAGGGGAGCTGGACAGATGCTAGCTGGGAGAGGGTAGGCAGCCAGAGATCACTGCTGACCAGGCAGGGAGTTGCACATTAAGAAAAAAAAGGAAACACCCACCGCCAGTCAGAAGACTGTCACATAGCATAAGCTGGCTGTAGGAGAACTGGCAGGTAGGAGCCAGAGCAGGCTCCCAGGGGCTTATGGACAGCACATGACTATTGCAGGGCCAGAGGCTCGGCCGTAGTACAACAGGGAGGACCCTGCAAGGCAGAAAATGCACAGCGACTGCAACTAGGCTAACAACAGAGTTCTCCTCCCACCTCCTACCCTGTCCCCCTCCGGGCCAGTCTAACAAGTTCAGTTCAGAAGTGCCTGTGGGAAGGTGGGGAAGACGCATGATGGCAGGGCCTGGGAGGCATTTAAGCCTGGGGTCTGAGCCAGATCAGGCAGCTTGGCCTTATAAGGGGCAGGAGAAGGAGCTCCAGGCTTGGAAGACAATAGGGAGGTGTGCTGACAGACTCTGGAGCTGTCCGGGCAATTGGAGCAAGGCGCTGAAGCATTTTTAGGGAATATGGACCAGGGCAGAGAGGAAATCTGCCCAGGTATGACCAAGATGCTGGTTTCAGTTTGTGTTTGATGTTCGGACCCAGTGCAGAATTTAGGTGGCAGCCAGAGGGCTTATTCTTTTGGAATAGTAAACCGAACCACCAAAAGGGTGACATAGTGTTTACCGTGAAGTATCTGTGGCTAAATCCACTTAGAATTGATTAAAACCGTTCCTTATTCATAGTGAAATTGGGAGTCATGTAGTTGGGATGTTATTGTGTAAGTGATATGTCTTTTTTTTTTCTTCTTTTTTCTAGGGTCAGTACAGGCCTGCTGATTTGTTGTGTCCAGAGACTTATGTCTGGGTTCCCATTGAGCAGTGTCTACCCTCATTGGAGCACTCGAAATATTGCCGCTTCAACCAGGACTCAAATGCAGGTAGGTTTAAAACTTAAGTTAGATCTAGAAATTGTCTGTCTTATTTTTACAGCCTATTGGTGTCATCTGCTGTTAAGGCTTCCTGGAAATCTCATCCGTTTAAGCAATGTTGAAAAAACAAAACATTTCCAGAAAGCATAGGAAATAGATTGCGTGTCCTGCGGCTAAAGGATTTCTGTCTCCTAATAGTAAGTTCGACAAGTATGTGTAGTTCAAAGCATGTATTTTCAGATGATAGCATTTTGTAAACGTGTGAGTTGCTCAGCCCATTTAGATGACTTAAATGATGTACATTTACCTTTAAAAAGTAAAAAGAAAGTAATTTAGAATAAATACCTAAAACTAAAAAGGGCACAAAATTAAAAGTTAAAGGGGACATCCAGAGGCAGAGAAAGAGAGGAGAGATATTCAGTACCTGTAGGATTGTGTTCAATATGTCAAAAAAACCCCCTCAAATTAAACAGACCATTGTGCACATAACCAAATCTTGAATTTTCCTGCTATTTCTTCCCTTTCATTCACCAGCACGTGCCAGTCAAAACTGTCAGTTTAAAATGTAAAATAACAATAATGAAGTTAAATATCAGTGTATTAGACTATAAAATGTATTACTACGGCTCTTATAGACCAGATCCATGGTCCACAAAGTTCTGATGTACTGCTTCCGGTTGTTATTGGGCAGTCAGAAATTCCTGTTTAGGGGAGATGCTATTTATTAGAGAAATTAAAAAGGGTTGTTGGGTATCTTTCTTTCCCATCTCTCATATCCCCACTGTATGTGGTCACACACCTTCAGAAAAGTAAAATTATTAGATTACCTAGCTGCATTGTAGATCTCATGTATAGGATTAGTGTTGAAATGACAGTTTGTTTTCAGTGCTCTGAGAAGGGTTAATGCAAGATGAAAAAAACATTGCATCCTTCTCTTGAGCTCTCTGGCTGACTAGATGTATTGCACTAATGGTGGCGCAACATTGAACCCTACTTATTGGTGAAGAAGGTTTGGCAACCCATAGAATTTCAAGTTTAGCAAGTCCCAGAGGAATTTTCTTCCTTTCTCCAGTGCTTGATAAATCTACACTATTCTGATGTGGAATAAAGTATTTGAAAGGGAAATATGAATGGCTATCTTATCTCTAAATCTAATTTAATGGAAAAAAGTATCTTAACAAATTCTGGACCGAGTTTCATTTTGATATTTTAAATATTAATTTGAGAAACACCACAAAAGTGAATCTCATAATGGAAATCCAATCAAATCAAGAGCATTGTGTGTATATATAGCGTACATGCTCAACTATTTCTTTCACATCACCAGTGGTTCTATATCTCATTATGCCATTAGCCCCTATCTACAGCAGTAGTGGTATTAAATGGATTTAATGTTCAGGTTACTTTCATTCTCTATAACACAAACAATTGCAGGAAAAGGGTGATACAAAGTCCTTTTTGAAAGGTGTTGTATTAGTGAAATAATGAGTTGGATACAAGAGGTTTTAAATGAGGATATCATTGAGTTTCAAACATTTAGAGGACCCTGAATTATGATGACCCCCAAATAATTCAGTTTCTAATATGGAAAATCTATAAATGTGTTATAATTTTCCATGTATAGAAGCTAATTGTTAAAGGATTGTCTTAAAATTGCACCCCACCCTCCACCGCAGCTGAGAAAGCAGTGGCAGAAAGCAAGCACTATGGAGCTGGCCAATGGGGAGGTAGTGGGCAGCAGGCAATAGGGTAGTCAGCATGGGGGAGCAGTTGGTGGGGGAAGCAGTTCAGGAGGAGGCAGATGGTAAGGCTTGGCCCCTGGCACCTGTCTGTCCCCTTCCCCTCTGTTTCTTGCCTCCCACCACCCTCCCCAGCAGTGGGTCCCCTTTCCCTTCCCCAACCCAGCTGCTTCCCATTGCTCTGGCTTTCATTCTGGCTCTGGCATACTCCATCTGTACTACAGCCTAGAGCACAGAGCATGTTTGCTCCACCTCCAGCATGGCCTGGTAGCAACAGCAGTAGCATGGCAGCTCCAAGCCCTGGCCCAATCTGCTACTGTCTCATTTACCAGGCTGGGCTGAGGCTGGAGCAAATATATGCCCCCAGGCTGTAGGGGGGACAGAGCTTGCTGGAGCGAGGGTAGGTAGTGGGGGGCAGAGAGGCCCAAGGTTGTAGTGGAGAAGGTGGGGGAAAAAGGCTGGGGGGGGGCTGAGGCTGCAGGCCTCTACCTATTTGAAGTTGGAGCCAGAGCTGCAGCACTGCCTGCCCCACTGTCACCTTCTACTTGAATCCAAAATGAGGGGCTTTTTCCCCCCATGTCAAACAGGGAACATTACCTTGTCTTGGATTCAGATAAATATTTTCATAGACTAGATTTCAGATTTCATAGACATTTGGGCTGGAAGGGACCCCGGAAGATCATCAAATTCAGCTCCCTGCCCCAGGGGCAGGAAGTCAGCAGGGATCAGAGGATCCCAGCAAGATAAGCATCCAAATGTGTCTTGAAGGCGTTTGAAGTGGGTGCTTGAACCACCTCTGGCGGCAGTCTATTCCAAACCTTGGGGGCTTGGACAGTGAAGAAGTTCTTTCTTATGTCCAGCCTGAATCAGTCGTGGCAGAGTTTGCGACCGTTCGATCTTGTTGTCCCTTGGGGCATTCTGGTGAACAGACGTTCCCCCAGATCCTGGTGAACACCCCTGATAAACTTATAGGTGGCCACCAGATCACTCCTGAGCCTGTGCTTTTCCAGGCTGAAGAGTCCCATGGCTCTCAGCCTCTCGTCATAAGGCCTGTTTTCCTGACTTCTGATCACGCATGTGGCTCTCCTCTGCACTCTCTCAAGCTTCTCCACATCCTTTTTGAATTGTGGAGCCCAAAACTGGACGTAGCACTCTAGCTGTGGCCTCACCAAGGCTGAGTACAAGGGGAGAATGATGTCTCGGGATTTGCTTGAGAAGCATCTATGGATGCAAGCCAGTGTTTTGCTCGCTTTACTAGCCGCAGCATCACACTGAAGGCTCATGTTCATCTTGTGGTCAATCATGACCCCCAAGTCCCTTTCATCTGTAGTGCTAACCAGCGTAGCTCTACCAAGCCTATAAGGATTCTGCAAGTTTTTCCTCCCAAGGTGGAGAACCTTGCATTTTTCAGTGTTGAACACTATCAGCTTCTCATCTGCCCATTTCATGAGCCTGTCAAGATCTGCCTGGATCACCCTCCTGTCCTCAGGTGTGGATGCTTTACCCCAGAGTTTGGTGTCATCGGCAAACTTGGCCAGTCTGTTTCTGACACCAATGTCCACATCATTGATGAAGATGTTAAATAGTATCGGCCCTAGGACAGAGCCTTGAGGGACCCCACTGGTCACAGCACACCAAGATGATTGGCTCCCGTTGACCACCACCCTCTGGGTCCTACTGTGGAGCCAATTCCCCAGTCAGCAGATCGTGGTGAGGTTGAGGCTACAGTTAGCCAGTTTAGCCAAGAGGTGATTGTGAGATACCAGATCGAAGGCTTTTTTATAGTCAAGATATACAACATCGATCTCTTCCCTCTTGTCCAAGTGATAAATCACCTGGTTATAAAAGGAAATCAGATTGGTCAAGCAAGACCTACCCACAACAAACCCATGCTGGGTATCCCTCAGAATATTGCCATCAGCTAATCTGTTACGGATGACCTCTTTGATAATCTTTTCCAAGACCTTCCCTAGGATAGAGGTCAGGCTGATGGGCCTATAGTTTGCCGGATCTACTTTCCTTCCTTTCTTGAAGATAGGCACGACATTGGCCCTCTTCCAGTCATTTGGCACTTCACCAGAGTGCCAAGAGCTCTCAAAGATCTGTACCGGGGCTGAGCTATGATGCTTGCCAGCTCCCTGAGTACCCTTGGGTGTAACCCATCAGGGCCGGTTGACTTGAAGGTACCCAGCCTGTCAAGGTGTTCCTTCACAAGGTCAGCTTCGATGGTGGGCAAGGACTCTCCCTCACCTGGGCCTCCCTGGCCCGTAGTGGGCAGGGCCGTCCCATGGGACTGGTGAAAACCTGACACAAAGTACCCATTTAGCAAGTTCGCTTTTTCCTGGGCATCAGTTGTCAGTTGCCCCATCTGGTTTAGCAGGGGTCCAGTGTTGCCCTTGCTTTTCCTCCAGCTCCTCGCATATCTAAAAAAGGACTTTTTATTGTCCTTGATATTTGTAGCTAGCTGGAGTTCCATTGCAGCCTTGGCTTTCCTGGTTTGCTCTCTGCAGGTCCAGACCAGAGCAGAGTATTCCTCCTTGTTGGTGGTTCCAGTCCTCCATCCTTTGTAGGTCTTCCTTTTACAATGCAGGAAGTACGCCAGTTCCCTGGAGACCCAAGGGGGCTGGTAAGTTTTGCATCATTCTAGTGAGATATCTCAGTAATATCCCCATGTCTTTGTCACTTTATGCCCAGATTACTATAAATGTGTTTTATAATAGACATGTTGACCCACTTAAAAACTGAAATCACAGTTTCAGGATGGCAGTATGATATGTCTATGGTCTTCTAATCAGCCAATTGTTATCAGTCACAGGGGTGACAAAATAAGGTGAGATATAGAAGAAGGAATTTGCCCTCAAATGTTTTTGTTCTGAGCTTGTGAGCACCTGGAGAAAAATAGATTTGGAAGGGACTGAAGGAAAAAGCAGTGCCTTGACAAATCAGATTGAGAGGTCATTGAATTTGTAAGAGGAAGCATGGTAAAATGTACAAAGGTGGAAGGAGGAAATAAATAGGTTTTGAGGAGACACTGTTTGTACCCCAGTAAAAGAAAACATTATGCTTATTAAGTAGCTAACCAAAAAAGCATCTGTGGGGCAGTGACAAAACTAGAATCTTAGAAGATAACTCTGTCGGGGAAAAGGAGCCATCTGCTTTTGAAATCCCTGTCACATACCAAACGTTTGAAAATTCTGAAATGTAAAACTTTACCTCTTTATCAATGCTGTAGCTCTTAGACCAGACACTCATTGAAAATCATTTGAACAA